TCTAGATTCCATAACTCGCCCATACTCTCCCCCTATAATACAGTGTAGCCTCTATGTGATACATGTATCGCTATTCGCAATACGCGGTGCTTTCGAGTTACGGGGCCCAGAACAGCAACCCCTCAGACCCCCCCCCCCAAGGATGAAATTCTTCTTTTCATAATACACGAAATATATGTTGCAGGACTAACAAAACATAAATAACAACACAAACACCCCCAAAATATTTTGACATGTGTCCGCCACAACTATTCATGATGTCCCTGATAAAAAGAAGTTAATCGATAATTGAACGACGCTGCCTCCCGTTTTCACAGAAATGGAAGTCCCGGATTCCCATATGATAATTAGTACACGTTAGGGTTAGTTGAAGTATTGGGGTTAGTATATGGGACGAATGTCACCTGTACAAAGAAATGGGGAACGGACTACTGTTCCTAGCACACTACCCATCCTGTACACTGTCATCTTTAAATAGAAATTATTTGGAAACAAGCCACTCGCGTATGTTGTGCGTATAATCTTTGTAAGATTTTGTTGTAGTTTAGCGACCTCTTGTTGTGTAGATATCTGCCAAAAACTGCTGCACACTCATTTACACCAGTACATGCTGCCGTATTAGTTGTAATAGATATTAAATTGTACATAACAGGTAATCTAACTGCAGAACGCCTGTCTTGATAGTGGCATATTTACAGTGATAGGTCCACCTTTTAATATATCTTAATGGATCACTTATACTTTAATGTTAATATTTAACCAATCATGCAATAGATTTTACAACAGATCATCCCTTTATGAACCAGACTCTCTGCTCTGTTGCCACCATGTCCCTGCCGCAGAGACAGCGTCATGGTGTCATACAGGTATGTGGTCAACCCTAGGGCCTTCTACCCGCGTCCTTGGTCAAACTTACACAATACAATACTCACTGTCACTTGGCAGGGCTAAAAGTAGACCAAGCAATTCAGTTTGGGGTGTTACTAAAAAAAACCTTGTCGCGCAAAGCTAATTTAACGAGTTGTTGTTGACTTTAAAACTATAGTCAAATTGGTATGCTGCTTAGAAGTGGGGCCATATAAACAAATTAGGCGTTTACTAACACCACCTGCAGATCTTTCAGCTCTAACACTCATATTAACCAGAAAAAACATACAAATTAACCAACACTACCCGAGCGGATGAATGTTAGTGCTAGATATCGTTTTGTTGGTGCTAAATAAGTGTGTGATGTGTTGGTTAATTCGTGGGTTTTGTGGTTAATATGAGCGTTAGTGCTGAAAGATCTGCGGCTATTGTCATTAAACGCCTAATCAGTTTATAAGACCTGGAAGTCCCGAAATCGTTATCTTCCCAAAGCAATTTCGTGGACGTATTATTTGAAAAAAACTTCAAATGCTTTTATTCATCTTGGTCTTCAGATAATATAAGAGCTCAAACATCTTTCTAGGTACCCCCCCCCCCCGGATCAATAATGAGATTGAAAATGTGATATTGAGAAAAATTATAAATGCCAGCTTTTCATAAAATTCTATCTCCAGGCAGAGGAGGGGAAACAGATAATCTCACTCATTCAGGTATCTCTTTGATGAAATTACTGTAAGTTTTAATTGATTTACCACTGCCCCATGACAGAAATAAACAAGTTTCGAAACTAATCTTTTTTTACCAGTTTCATTATTATTTGCTTAACCTCTTATTCAGAATCCTCCCTAACATCAAACGAAATGCAGATAAAATTATGTTTGTTTGCTTTCAGAAAAAATAGAGAAATGGTAGTATTAATTTGATTAAAAATACATGAATAAAAAAATAAAAAAATAAATGAGGAATTGGAAACAAATTAATAAAGACAGCACAATGACGAAGGAAAATAGTGATAAAAGTTTAAACAACATTTTACTAATAATTAGCCAAACAAGGTCTTATGCATTTACGTGTGTCCGTAATTCGAAGACTAGAGAAAACGTTCTTCAGATTTGTAAAGTGTATTGAACGAAACTGATCTGGGCATTCAGTCGTATGTATGCAGTCACAGACTACGTATTCCTCCGTTTAAATCGCACCGCACGCACAG